GGAGAATGATTTTTTATTTTTATTTCATTATTCCAATGTAGAAAAATTTCGTGTCATTTCTATGTAATATGTAAAATCGCCATTTTAGATAGTTATTGGGTAGACAATTATTACGTTTACATGTGACGAGTTGAACTGTTCTTAATCTTAATTGAAACCGATTTTATTATGAATCGACCTAAATTTTCTGACCTGTTTACATGTGAGTCTTAATAATATTAAATCGGTATGTTATAATATTCATTATTCTGAAAAATATGTTATCACTTATCAAAAAGTAATCGGTTTAGGTTGTTTACTTGTAAGTACAAAAATACACCCGACTTTATTTATTAAACCGATTTAATTTGGTTAAACCACGTATTCGAGCGTCCTTAAAATAAAAACGGTTTATATTATTAAGATCGCTTTAAAGCGTTTACATGATGCATGATTGGACCGCTTTAGATTTTAAACCGACTTTAATTGTGCATGTAAACGTAGTWATTATGCATTATTTCAGCATAATATGATCACTCTGTGAATAATTAAGTTGAACACGATAGTAAGGTAATCGGATACTTACACATAAGGATGCACTGTGCAGGCAACTATAGAAAGAAAGTAACAGGCAAAGAATTTATGTTTTAGAATTTCGGAAATGTCAAGATCATTAAAATAATTATTTACGAATATTTTTACTAAGTTAATTTACAATTTTAATTTCCTACCTCGGTGGTAGTTGATAGAGAATGAAAAACATATGACCTGTATATGGCTGTATCGCCTATCAACGTTATATTAACAACATAATCCTAGATTATAATAAAATGAGTAATAAATTACGAGTATTTTGGTTTCGATAATTAGATTGATTTTAACGATTTCCTCAGCTCAACAATATATTAATTTATTTTCAAGAATAGAATATTATATAAATATATTGAATTTAAGTTAACATGGACCGCAATAAATTAACCATTCTATACATTGCCCATTGACTTTATGATCTACAGCAATAATTCCTGGGCAATATAATAAAACTACTGACAATGATGTATCAAATGACCGGGTTTTCCAAATCGTAACATTCATATAGATATTATGTTCTTACATTTATTATTATTAACAATGAAAAATAATGCAAACATAGTACATACATAGATTCTGAGCGCTGATCCGGACAATCATTGCGTAAAATATTGTGTATAGTATGTGCATAGGCGTAAATTTGGCTTGCTAGAAC